TGCATGTGTGTATGTAGGACTGGTGTCCTGCAGTTTAGCAGCATTTGTGGGAAACCTTATCGCTACAGCAAGGGTGGATGTGATCAGTAGGTTTCTAATAATTTATCTTTCCTGGATTCACTGGTAGGAAGCAGTTTTAACTCAGCTCTACCTATGCATTTCTGCCTTGCTACATACTTTGTGATGTGCTATGAAATGCTGTGTTTGACAGTTGAAGAATTGATGTTGACTTCCAATACCATTCTTACCGCAACCCCAACATCTCCTTTTTTCAATGTCACGTGATGAAGTCAGTCAGATACTCGGCCCTCTGTTCTCAGGGCCTTGCTGGAGATGAGCGTGGGGGTTTCCTGTGGCAGCTGCAGAACACAGCAGAGCAGAGCTGGAGGGGCCTCTGACACTCTTTCCACAGCAGTCCTGCTGTGAGCAGGGAGCTGGCTCAGGGTGCACTGGGCCTTGCTTCAGTTAAGTTACAGGCATGTCCAAGAATGGAGATTCCACAGCCTCTGGGCCCTGTTCCCGTAGTTAATCATGCTTATTGAATATATCAAAAACATTTGCACAATTGGGACATTCCTTGTTGAAACTTGCGTCCACGGTGTAAGAACTGCTAGAAGAAGTCAAGCCAGTTTGAGGGAACATGAACAATATCTTTTGCACCATCCTGGTCTTCATCCATGCCTCAAGGCAGTGGACCTAATTATAAGCACCTCAACTAGAAAGCATAGTGCACATTGCTTCAAATGATAGATATTAAAAGTGATCCTACCCAGTCACGACCCTGATCAATGCCAGTATTCTTACCTATAATCAAGAGACAAAAATGGAAATTTTGAACAATTTGAGAGTAAGAATCCTGGAAGGGCAAGAAAGCTTTCCGTGTCAGCGTGTACTAGCAGTGGGTAAGTAGGATATTCTGCAAAAAAAAAAAAAAATTAAAAAGAACAACAACAACCAAGTATAGAATCCTCCATTACATCACACATCGATACTAAAATTTTATTTGAGGTGTCTGATCATTTCTGTGCATCTTCTTAATGTAATTGTAGATTCTTGTTCATGTACAATACAAGTGTTAGAGCATTGAATATATGTGACTTTTTTAGAAAAGGTATTTTTTGTTGTCATTAGCAATCAGTGTTAAGAGCCAGTATCTTCTTGGCTACATAAATTAAATGTGAAAGGTAGAGTTTTAATCTAACCTGAATATGTGCTTCTGCTGAGCAGAATTAGGTCAGCCGGGTTAAGCAGTGGTGCAGGCTGATCTGTTCCTGCAGGTGCCCTCCATTTTGCAGACGAGGCAGAAGGCAGATGCTGATCATGCTGCCAGGTGGCATGCTGCTGGCTTGGCAAGCTTCAGCTGCTGGAACAACTGGAACCAATTGGGAGCCTGAAGGGAAAGAACCCTTGAGGAACAGTGAATAAAAATCAGGGAGACTCACAGCTAGCAAGCAGAAATAGGAAGCTACTAAAGCATCTGGTTAGTAATAAATAGTTAAAATATTAAGAATTCTGAATGCTAATGCAAACAGTGTTCTCAGAAAGTTTCCATAAAAAAAACATAACCGCATCATTTGCCAGCTTATGAGAGAGGATCGTTGCTGCCTGCTTCTGGGAAAGGTATGCGGACAGGCCTCAGAGAGCCAGTGAAAGAAAAACTTGTTTAGGGAGTAGAAGAATCTTCAGTAATCAAAATAAACTTTTAAATCCCAGATTTGTCAGGACCGAATGAAGAGTGGTTGCTTATGGGTGTGCTGAGAGATGAAGTCTTTCTGCCTTGAAAGGGATGCAGATACTGGAGCAGCTTCTTTGCTGTCTACACCTTCAAGGGAAGGAGCTGCTGTGTGCTTCCTGTGCCTAGATGTATGGGTTCAGCTGGAAGACCCTTCTCTCATTATTCCTTATGCTCCTCCCTGCTGTCCGTAGGAAGAGGTTGCTAGGAGTGACTGAAGCCTGCAGATTTATCTGTGCTCTTCTGGGAGTGGGGAGCAAGTTGTTGTCTTCCCTGATATGAATTACTTGGAATTAGCCTAGCTCCCCCAAAGGGCTTAATGTCCATTAAAATAAACACTGTTTATAGTGTTTGTAGCCTTTGCTAGTGTTTGCAGCTCAGGAAAGGAGCCATTGCCAGCAAGTTAGTGGGAATTATCTAAACATGGTGTCACGGAGTTGATCAGATCAATCTGTGTCCGTGACAGGGGCGACAGGCCTCTGCCCTCCCCCCCCACCCCAGTCCCACAAAAATGGGAAGGAAGGAAGGGAGGAAAAGAGCAGCGGCAACAATCTATGGAGGAAAACTTATTTTACTATGATATCGGAATACAAAATAACACAATATATACAATTTAATTGAAATTGAGATTAATAAATCAGACAAGATGAGAGAGAGAGAGTTCCCGGGACCGATTCAAACCTGAAAAGCTTGGAACGGCCAGGAAAGCACCTCCAGCACCCACTGCAAGGCAGCAAGAGAGCGACCCCCCCACCCGGAAGGGCCAGATCCCGTGACTGCTATAATGTACAGGGATAGGAACTTGGAATTGGGGCAGTGACACTTTAATGCCCCGTGCACTACATGATGTTTTGATGTGGAATACTGAAACCCAAAAGCAAAAAACAAAACCAAAACCAAAAAAACATAGAACCATGACACATGGCTTTTAGGAAGGTTCTTGGGAAGCATCAGGCTATTCTTACTGCCTTTTTGTGTGTGTGCATGTGTGTGAAATAAAACATAATGCTCTTTCATTTAATTTTGGCTTTATTTGGGACAAACATACAATGTCTCCTCATCTACTGTGTGTGTTCATCCACCCTGTTTAAAAATCTGCTCTTTATGGCTAAAAGAAGTAAAACAAAACCATTCAGTTGATTAAAACTAGCAAGTTCTGAGCTGGCAAGTCTTGATTTTGAAAGGTTGGTTTTAATTAGGTTACATTTTTTCTGTCTCATTTTATGATGCATCATGTAATAAGATGCATTGTTAGCCTAAAAATAATAGAGTGCAGTTTGATTCTCATTCCTTATATGGCAGATGACTATTGTCTGCTTAGATACCATCTGTGAACAAATGAAACTGAAGAAAACCTAACCACAAGACAAGAGAAGTGTGTGTGAAGACTGTGTGAAGACTGGTACGTTTTACAGTGGAGATATTTTGATGTGGCATTACACAAACCCACAAGATAGCTTCTTTTCCTTCTTCCTGCCTTTCATTCAAGAAAGTCTCAGTAGGCAGCCATGAATGACATTTCTAGAAGTGGAATATGGCTGCTAGATTTGAAGATCCTGACTCATGTGGCAGAGTTGGCTTTTTGGAAGAAGTTACTACTTCTGTTGTTCGTTGTGATTGAAAAGGCAAGTTAGCAGAGAAAATTGGAATAAAATTTGACTAGCTGCTTTCCCTGTTTTAGGATTTGACTTAGTTTTCCAGTACAGTCATTCAAGTTTGATACAGAAATAAGTATTATCAGATCAGTTTTCTGCATCTCAAAAGCACGTTAATGTTTTTTGGCTTTTTGCTCGTTGTAACATGGTACTGCAGCAAAATGTTGTGCTGCAGTGAGTACAGTGAAGGATTGATCTGGAACTTCTAGTCTGTTTCCAGCATGTTTATATGCTGTTATCTTTTTGTTTGAGTTTTGCAGAGTACAGTTGTATTTTGGATTGATAAAAATGCCAGTGGAGCAGCTATTCTCTTTGAAAATGCTGTCGAAGTAGTCCCTTTATTTGATTACACACTCCATCTGCATTGCTTGTCATACTTGTGACAGCCTGTGAATCTAGAATCAGCAGTAAGGGAGAGAGGGTTGGGTATGAAAAAATGAAGTCTTCAAATAATTGCCTTTTCTTCCATGTATTGGCTGCGTTAAAAGTATGTGGGCATCTGACATAGGAGAAAATTTCCAAAGCTAAGGAAGTAAAGAAACATACGTAAGGTCCTTACGAGTGATAGTGCTACTTTAAATGCAAAGAAAATGTCTGCAAGACTGGGGTTTCCTTATAGCATCTGGAAAGCTTTTGTGTACGGTAAGGAAAAGACAATGGCTATGCCAGGTAATTGCACACTCCTGTGTAAAATATGGTAGTTTTCCATAACTATTGCCTGCTCATAGATTTGCTGGGGATTACACTTCAAGAAATGTTTGTGGTTCTACTATGTATAAGATATCTGTTTTTTTCATTTGAGATGTGAAACGATATGAAATGGGCCATGTATGGTAAGTAGGTAATAGAGGCATTAGAGAGAGTGTTAAGTTACTAAACAGAAGATGACTGAATTGTTGCACTGCTAACTGGTTATTTAACTCTACTGGAGAAAATGGTAGCCCTAAGTCATTCACCAATGGATAAATCTTGTGATTATATGTACAAAGGACAGTCTGTACAAAGCCAAAGGTACAACATAGCTATTCCTATATCTACATTATAGTTCATGGAACACTTCATTTTGTTCTACCAGCATCCTACTGAAATCTACAGTTCTCCCTACTTCAAAAGCATGATTGAAACAAGACCTTACCAAAAAGCCTGTGGAAGTTCTGGCATAGCATGGAAATGAGGCTGTCATTTGAAAAGTAATTCTCTGAAAGTCAACGTGAAAGAGTGCTTTACACCTCCGCTGGAGAAGCTTGCAGAAAAAAAATTGTTTACTCATTGCAGCCATCCCACTTGCACATTATGAAAACACACCTCTTGGCTTTGCTTCGAGTTGAAATTCATTTAAATACTAGTGGTGCTAGCTACATATCACATGTAACAAACAGAAAGCTGTCATACTGGTATAAAGCATGATTAGTGAAGTCTTTTACCTCTGGAGAAAGAATACATGCCTTGCAGCCAAACTACATACAACCTTTCAAACTCTTCAATGGTATTGTGCTCTGAAATACACTTGCAATGACCATGGGCACTTACAGCCACAGTGAAGTAGTATAATGATGGGTTGATTAATTAACAGCTTTTAAAGAATGATCATTTTCAATTTTTTTTTTTAACAGATTTTTCTCGAACTAAATACTCCTCGCATCAAGGATGTTGATTCTTTTGGCTTTCATTATTATATTTCACATAACTTCAGCAGCGCTGTTGTTCATCTCAACTATTGACAATGTAAGTGTCATTTCTTCTTGTCCCTCAAGTACCCAGTTATTTCTTTGCTTTTACAGTCTTTTATTACTTGCTGTGTTTCAGATAATTTGCTAGATGTGTTTTGAGCCTTAGAAGTTTTCCACCAACTTTATTAAAACAAACGTTTGTTTAAGAAAAAAATCGTATTATCCTAAAGTTAGTGCCTATATGACACTTAAAATTATGCAACTGAAAAATAGATTTGGCTTCTTTTCTTCAAACCATCCTCAGAGGAGTGTAATTTCTGCTATGAATTAGTTTCAATTCACTTGAAGCAATTTCAGCTCAAAGTTTTAGAATCGTGTGGCTTTCTTTTCAAATTTATTTTAATTACTTTTGTGACAAGAAAAAGATTGCTTTCCAGTGTTTACATCTAGCTCTTAATATGAACGACTTATTTCCAAAACAGCTGGCAGTGACTGGTACTCTTAACTGCATTGGGTTCTTTCTCTGACAGGTTGAGTGAGTCCACAGGCTTTTAGGATGTTAAAAAAAAAAGAAGTCTACTGGAAATACTTTACTTGTGAAGCTGGTTTGAATCCCATAGTTTTTCCGAAGACTGTGCTTTAAGTAAAATGATAAGATATCCACAGCTCTTCATTGCAAAATTTTATGAACTGACATGTTATTTTTCAGCCAACTAGTTGATATGCTGGAGTAGATCATCAATTAAAAGCACTAAAACCAAGTTTTATTGCCCCGCTCCTTTGAATATTTAGAAAACTAGGACAGTGGACAGGCAAATTATTCTTAGCTCAGGTCAGTTACATACAAAGGATTACAGAATTCCAAAACCACGCGCTCTGCTTTGTGTCATTAACTACTTTTAAGCAGTAACAAACTATGCAACCAGCTTCTGCTTGGTTTTAGCACGTTCATAGATTTTATGTTGTCAAGAAAATCACTCTCAAAATATGAAAAAGCCTTCAAAGCTGAAAAATAATTTATTCCACTTGGACAGCAAAAAAATGCATGGCTTAGTGCTATTGAGAAAGTAGTGCTTTTTCTTAACACAGTAATCCAGAGTTATTCTGATGGGTATAGCTACCATCGTGATACACTGATGTCCTAATTGCTGTACTGCTGCAAATCTGGCTGGTATTCTGTGAGGTTTCTGGTACGTCTCTTTAAGCAGCTGTTGATTCCAGGAGTCATATTTAAAAGTCCTATTTTTCCAGAAACTACTCAAAACTGAGGCCTGCGTAGCTATCGGAATTGGAGTGGATTTCCTGAGGAAATGCCACTTGTGTGGAGTGGTTGCAGCATTTCCCAGGCTGCCATAAGAATCTGTTCAGTCACTGTAGTACTATTTTGCATTAAATGTTAAAACACTGAAATAGAAATACCACAGTGAGATCTTAATTTATTGCTATTACTTCCAGTCAGATGCCACAGTGCATGAACTGCATTTGCACATTGACAGCACAGCTACATTAGTTGAGATTAATTCATTCAGTGTAAGGAACCAGAAAATTTGTAAACAGGGTTTCTGTTTCTTGGTTTATTACCCTGCTGTTTCCCATGAGTTAAAAAAGTGTTGTGCCTTAAGGGAATTTACATTCCAAAGAAGGTCTGGGTGAATAAATTATAGCTTGTTGGGGTATCTTATGGAGTGAGCAATCTTTGAACGTCCAAGACTTCTGTCTGAAAAGTAGAAAATCCCTTGTGCTTCAGGGTTGCTATCTGGTCCCTTTCTTACTTCACATGGGTCTAGAATGAAAATGATACATGAATAAAGAAATACCTTTTATTCCAAAATTGAGCAGATAACATGCAGCCTTCAGTTTTGTGGTCAGTACATGACTCAGTGCAAATTTATCAGAAAAAATGAAGAAAGGTCTCTGGTCTCTTTCTTCTGCTCATTACTTCCCAAGCCTAGATCTTGATTTCAAGCAGAAGCACTGAAGCTTTCAGTTCTTTACTGGGAATGCAGAATTATTTTCCAATTCTTAATGCTGTTGGCTTGCCCTTCTATCTCCAAATATGGAAGAATAACAAGTTTCTTGCCCTCTTGTTCTTGAGACCTAGCCTGTACAAATGCTTTTAAGTCCATTACATCTGAAATTTAGTTTCAAAGATTAGTGAACAGGTGTTTGTTACAGTGGATGTGCCTTTACTTTTATTTTGCAGGCCTGGTGGGTAGGAGATAATTTTTCTACAGATGTCTGGAGTGCATGTGCCACAAATAATAGCACCTGCACACCTATTACTGTTCAATTCAGAGGTGAGTATCTGTGCATGCATATGTCTCAATTCCTTTAGCAGGAGATAGAGGAAACCAGCATAAAATTTACAGGGACATGAATATATACTTGTTCAAAAACCTGTATGTTCTAACTACTCATGTCTTCTAAATTCTTCAATACTGGATTTCCATTTTGGAAAAGCAAACTGTTCCTACAGGTTCTCTCATAGGAGAACAGAAGGAACTATTAGGTACACTGAAAGCCCAATATGAGGGATTAAACACAAGGAATTAAGAGCAAGAGCCAAAGAACATTTAAAGTACTGGATCAAGTAGCAGTGGTGAAGACATCTGAAGGTAGCTCTGCAGCGGTGGAACTTGCCTCTCAGAACTGAACTTTAAAAGAACATAAATACACTGTTCTACAGGCATAGGGGTAAAAGGGAAAGAAAATGAGAACACAGTCTGAAGTTTTAACATAGATATTGTACTTAATATCTATGCAAAGAATTAATATACAGTACAACCTAACTTACCCTTCTTTACCAAAATATATATATTTTTTTTATTCTCAAGAGTTACTTTAACTATGTTCCCACACTTTCAGTTAGTATGTATTTCAAATAGGTAAATGAAGAGCCATGTAGCCCTGTAGTAATTTTGGTGTCCGAGTGTCAGGTCGTATCTATATTGCAGGGAGACAATCCCATTATGTAAGGTACATCTAATCTAATATGAATTTAGCCTACAATTGAGTTTCACCCTGTTTTAGTATACAGAGGGTAGTGGAGGATGTGGTATGTGAGAAATGGTCTCTTCAGTGTTTTATTCAGTTTTCTGAAAAGCTTTTAAAAGTCTTTAAATCACTGGCTGTATAAATAAAAAGGAAGTGAGAAGAACCCTCTGAGGCTTGCACAGTTGGTTTACTGTGTCTGCTGAACTCCTGCTTAGAGAGTGCAGCTCTGCCCTTCTGCTCATTGCTGGAATAGGCAAGGGGGGATAACTATTTCTAATCAAAGCTGCTTTTGTTTTTGCAGAATATCAATCAATTCAGGCTGTTCAGGCCTCCATGGTCCTATCTACTATTTTCTGTTGTGTGGCATTTCTGGTTTTCATTCTCCAACTTTTCCGTCTAAAGCAAGGAGAAAGATTTGTGTTAACCTCTATTATCCAGCTCCTGTCATGTGAGTGATTTTTCAACACTTGTGACTTCAATGATGTTCACATGAAAGTACGAAAGGGAAGGGGAAAAAGGTTTCAAAAAGAATGAGCTGTATGAGAACTCTGTAGGGCTCTGGAGGTCATAGCTTGTCCTGCATATATGTTTAAACATGGAACTGCTCAATTCTGTACTGTTTAGGCAGTGGAAACATGGGTAATATCACAGCTCAGAAGTAAAAATCTGGGAGGGAAGGAATCTAAGATTCTGAGCATCTTGATCAAATTAAGTAACTGCAAATGTTGCAGGCAGGTACTTCCTTAATTTTTGTTAGTCTTTAAAACTATCCAGATGTTAAGAATCATTTTGTGTTCATTGCAAATTACATGAATATGCAACAGCACTTAAAATTCAGTCCCTGCCAAAAAAACTGAGAGCATGTCCTGAAATGCCCCCAGTTTAGTTTGCAGATGGAAAATAAGTGTTTGCAAAAAAGACACTGCTGGAAGCGGCTGCCAGATGAGAGTCAGTGGATGGTTATTATACGTACTGATATTATCTAAAATTACTAACCTTTGCTGTTTGTTCTCCTCCAGGTCTGTGCGTGATGATTGCAGCTTCCATTTACACAGATAGGCACGAAGAACTGCACAAGAGCATTGAATATGCCATTGAAGTTTCTAAAGGCCAGTATGGCTATTCCTTCGTCTTAGCCTGGATTGCATTTGCCTTTACTCTGATCAGTGGTGTTATGTACCTAGTATTAAGGAAACGTAAATAAATGTTGGCAGCTAGTTATTACTGTCATGACAGTACAAAACCAAATTCCAATATTTTGTATATAATCATTTACATGGTTTTGTAGTAAAGGTATTGTTTCTCTAAAAATGTACTGTGTTCTTGATATGAAACAGAATACAAAAAAAGCCAACCAACAGCAGGTTTAATGGAATGCCTGGCATTCAGTCTGAGCAAGACTGACCCAAGTTTTCTTTTACTTATTTCACCATCATCTGTGGTGAAATGGTGTATTCCCTTTTCTAGGCATAAACAGTTCCTGGCCTCTGTCAGATTACTATTAAAGTCTTTGCAAATTAATTTGGAAGCAATATGCTCAGCATATTCCTGGCCTGGATCTAGCCCTTTGGGATGGGATAAATACAGGGGAAGTGAAAAATGAGGCCAAGATCATGGTGCAAAAGCAAACAAGTATAAAAGCCCAGAGCTGCACTCAATGTGGCTGTTCCAGCAGAGGACGAACGTTCTGCTATTTATATCGTGCAGTAAGTGTCATCAAGCTTTTATTAAAACCACTTGCTTTGCAAAAGCAAACAACTCTTTTTCGTACTCCAGCAAATGATTCTCTTTATTCTTCTTCACTTTTAATTTAAGCATATAGAGCCTTTGGCAGGAAAAGTTACAAGCAAATTTGAAATTCAGTGCACAGCTTGGGACTGGAGGAGTCTGAGCAGAAAGAGATGCTCCACTCAAGTCCTGCAGCCCCTTATTTTTTCATTGTGCAGTACCAAATTTAACTTTTTTTTTTTTTGCAGCCAAACTCAGTATGTTTATTACATTGGGATCTGGCTAGATATATCATGTTGGCTAATATGTAATTTAGAAAAGCTTTTTTTATTTTTATTTTTATTTTTATTTTTCTGTGTCTGCTCACTAGGAAATTGGCCTTTACAAAATTCATTCTAAGTTCCTACTTGGATTTTATTTGAATAAAAATTCTTACTAAAGAAATCAGAGTGTAACTACCATGCATAGGAGTTCCAGGATAGTTTTTCAAAATTTTTGGTGATTTTTACTTTTCAATAATTCTGTGAGAGAATTACTGTAATACCAGATTTAACTGCTCAGCAATGTAATACTGGCTTTGGCTGGTGGTGATTTCAGGGTTTGGAGACCAGTGTGGGGAATAAAGTAGCTTTTTCTGGTTAGTCACACCTTTGATGTTAAAATGTAGATTTAACTTTGTAAAAGCATTAACCATGTATTCATTTCATGATATTCACTACAGCTGACCCAATATATAGGCAATAAAAATAAATGAATTTTAAATGAAATTTTACACTTAATGTAGAACAAAATTACTACTACAAAATAACATAGCTCTACTAATGTTGATAACTTAGCCTATTACACAGCAGCTGATAGTCTGACCCATTGCTGCAGATAATTCATCCTTGAGTTCTCACAGAACTGTATGGGAATTGTCTCTGACATGAGTAATGGGTCTTGCTGTTCCATCTCCATTCCCTGACCATCCTAAAATGCTCTAACGATTGTTATTAGGGAGCAAAGAAAGTACAACAGGACCAGCAAGAAGTTAATTAGACAAGTAAGCAGAACAGCAAATAAAAAGTGAAAATAACAGCAGTTAAAACAATAGATCAGTCTGAGAGAAATGCATTCTCACTTTCCCAGTCTTGCATGATGCTACTGTTCTGTTAATCTTTTTCCTCTTAGTGGGAACACTGAATTTCAGGCATTACTACCCTACTTTTTAAAAAAGTGTTTCTGCTGTTTGCTGAATACATTTCAGATTCAAAACCTGAGTTTTGCTAGCAAGCAGGATTTGTTTTAAATAAACAGATGTGGGTTTAAGGCTGAAAGTAGTCTGTAAATTAGGTGTTTGGCTAGTCTTATTCAAACATGAAATATTAAGGGTGAAATTCTAAAACAAATGTGCATTAAAGCTATTTTATATCTAGAAGATAATTCTATAACACTGTAAATTAAGCTGAAATGCCACTGACTTGAAGAGATGCTTCTTCAGTTTCTTGCCTTAATAGTGCTTAGGTCATTTATAGAGCAGATATTTAAGATAAAGATGTATATATACATGAACTCAGCTTACTTCTACAATGAAAGCTCTGTCACTTTAGTTAGAAGTAAAAAGCACACACACTTCAGTGTACAAACAGCAGCATGCAGGTGGTGCCACACAGAGAACATATGTCAATATTCGAAGTACCAAGAAAATAAATGCCAAAAAGTTTGAACAAGAGTTTTAACAGGACAAACATATTTTAGAATATTCTTTTTACTTGATATGCCTTTAAAATATACCGTTTTCTATGCTCTATATATTATTAAACTGTACATGAAAATAAAGTTAAAAATTCTTGTATTAGCAAGCTCAATACGTTCAGCAGTCTGACCTTGTCTTTAAGCTTGGGGTATATTTATACAAGCTGGGATGAGAAATAGTTGAGGATTTGTATGAACAGGTAAAATTGAACTCTTCCTGCCTGTACTGTCATTTGTTGAAGAGCTTTCAGGTAAGTAGAGAGAACATCAGTGTACTAATGTGTAAGTGCGTGGTCCCACAAGAATAGCTGCCATGTAGTGCAGGACCCACATGTGATAAGACAGTTACTAGTAAGGTCTCTTTTCCTCATTGGCAGAAAAGCTGTGTGTTTAAGATTATTTTGAATGCCTTGATCATGTGAGAGATGTTAGAAACAAGCCACCAACTTCTGTATGTTCTCCAACCCAAGCTTCACCCATGCACTGGGACGACAGCAGTACAGGTAGGTTTGCACAGATTGCTCTAAAATGAGAAGTACTTAAGGATAATAACCTGTGATGAACAGTAAGTCAAACCCTTATTTCACTTGTTCTCCTCCTACTTTGTACATACCCATTCCTAAGGTTTTCATGGAGCAGGCACAAATATTAACTGTGTAGGGGAGCACACTTGGTTCAGTTTCTGCAAGGGTCTGTGACAGTGCATCAACCTTTGGACTTTGCACATGGAACTCCTTCAGTTTCAGACTAACGAGGAGGAGCAGTGTTGAATTTTTCAACAAGCTCTGGAGAAAGAGGGGTCCTTGCCAGTGAGGAAGATGTGGATCATGCTTGGAAATCCAGGCTCTGACACAAAAGCAGTTATTTGAACAAGGGTTGCAAGCCAAATGCACAGCTTCTAATTCATACAAACTTTCCTTCATGCAAATACAGAAACTTCTTAATTGCTACTGTATAGTTTGCAAGCTGCCAGAATTGTCACAGGTTATCTCTTAGGTATTAACGTTCAGCATTTTGCTGATACTTCTTTTCTGTCTTTCCTTTAGCTTTTTGCCTAGACTAGAAAATACTCCTTGCAAACTCATAATAACAAATTAGAAAATGTTGTGTGCTATTGAAGGGTGTATGTTTTGTCAGCAGGATGTTTATTTACTTTGGATCAATACCAAACTAACTGAATTTGTAGACTTCTGTTTTCTTTTTCCTTAATTCAGCCACAAAGCTCAGCAACCCATGCATGTTCTCAGTCACTTAGTTTTATGACAGATATGCACTATGCAGCTGCAGGTGCTGTCACAGAATTTGATTTTTATTACCACTTTCAACAGTTACAAAAAGCTCCTGATGGCATCTGGACTACACCACATGGGGCAGATGTTGGTCTATTTTACTGTTGCTTCTTGGGGAAGCAATCCTGTGTTTTACTGCTCCTCCAAAAAGTCCCCCAAAAAGCGAAACACCCCAAGACCTGAAAAAAAAACAACCCAACTTTGAAGTGAAACTGTACTTTTAAGAGCCAACACAGCAAATTTAAATCAAAATCAATTACCAGGAAATTGAAAGGCAGTTATATTGCTGTTATAAGTGTCAGAAAACTTCATTCAAACCAGAGACACAAACACATAAATACAAGGGAAAAGCCAGAAATACAGTGTGTGGTGCACTGCTTCAGGGATTCGATCTTCTTAATATGTTATCAGCAAGAAGTAGACCAGCTGCTATATTCTCTTTTCCTTGATGTCTTCGTATTATCACTTCAGATAGTTTTACTTTTTAGTAAAATTGTTCCAGCAGAGAAATTTTTTAAGCGTCTGTGTTGAAGAATTACACTGTTTTGGAACCTGAAAGTTGGTAGGATTTAAAAATTGCAATCCTTTTAGGAACCGATGCCTTAAAACGTTTTCAGTCGTGAAAGATTTGGAGGAGGAGGAAGGCAATTTGTAAGGCGTAAGGAAGAGAAAAAGGTGTCTGGAGCAGCTGTGTGTGTGCCTGCCCATGGTACTCCGTGCATCGTTCCCTTTGTGCTGGCCGTGCTGTGCAATTCGCGTTCCGACAGAGCCTCCTCGTGGCGAAACACCGCTGCATTCCCATTTCAAAACGCCTCTAGAAAGCCCGACTTCAGTTCTGAAGCATTCTGCAAGGTGTAAATCCCCAGGGATTGGGGATCCTCCTCCCTCTGCTCAAGCACTCTTCATTCAGATTTTTTCACTTGCTTTCGAGAGCTGTGGACGATTCTGCTCTCAAACATTTAGGTGAATATTTCACCTTTCATGCACTACAGGATTTTAGAACCACATACATTAAATAACTCTCATCTAAGATTTTTTATTTTTATTTTTTCCCAGATGTACAATGCTTTGAGAAACCTTAGTATAGGGCAGTTCATTAAACACATGTGAAATACGGAATCTTGTTTCAGAGCAGGAAAACTGCCATCCAGTTGTCACCCCGAGCAAAATGTGAGCTGTTCCCCACACTGCACTTAGAAATAGGACAGGCTGCTTTGGAGCAGCTAGCACTGACAGTGCCAGTGTTGCTTTTTCAGGCTTCTCAGTCACATTCAGGTCAGCATAAAACACTCACTAGTGGTGCTAGACAGCCCTAGTAAAGATAAATATGTGATTGATGGAAACTTTGGGCTGTATTGGCAGTTAATGAAAGACATCACGGTTTCCATTTAACTTCAGCTAGTTGAAAATAACAGGGTGTATTTATCATCTCCTTTTCAAAGCTAAACCCATTACTCGTCTTCTGAAGCCTCTGCAGTCCAACTATACCGAGTTCAGCTTTCCTCATGATTCAGTACACAATGACTGAGAGGCTGGGAAGTCAACAACAAGCAGTAGGACTGCCTGGTGTTCATGAGACCACTTGCTCCTTTGTCAGTCCACACGATAATAAATCACACCTGTACCAAACCCAGCATGCATCTGCTGACATGCAGTTGTTAACATCAGCTGAAATTCTACAACTGCCCCAACACACATTTCAGCCTTAATGAGTTTACCCTTGGCTGATAACAGGCGATGTAAATCCTTGCCCTCCAGGACCATTATGTTATTTCTGTCCTCTGCATAGAGACCTCCTTGTGTATCTGAAGATTAATGCTTAACTCAGTCTTTTGCTACCATCTTCAGCAGATCCTGTAGGTGGCATTTTCTGGGCAACTCTTAATATTTCCATTGCTCCCTTCTAATGAGTGCCACTTGCAGCACATGACTTTGATGTGCAGTGAACAGCGTGTGAAGTAATATCTTAGCAATAATGAAAAAGAATTGAAGGACATTCTCCTAGATTTCAGATTTTTCATCACATGCTGTACATACATTGTTTTTGCAAAAGGCACAGGAGGCAGACAATATGGGCTGGTTTCTGCCTTCCCAGATAGCACTGGGTTCTGCTCGGCATCACCTTAACTCCAGCTGTTCTCATCCCTGAAGAAGGAAAAAAGAGAAAAACAAAGAAAAAAAAAACAACCCCACAACATGACATTGAAGCTTGGCATGTAATAATCTCTTCCCTCAAACCTGTGGCTGCACTCTTGTTAATACAGCATGTGGTAACCAACCTTTCTTTGCTGCAGGGGTGCACCACTGAGTCAGGGTGTCCAGCAGGACCCCCAGGCTGGAGACACGGTGTCTGTTCCAGCTATGTCCTGGAGAAGGGAGCCTGCACTTAGAAGGGTTGTGAGCTTTTGGAGGTGCTTTTTATGCACTCAAGGAGGAATTAGGGTAGTCTGACTTGCTTATGACCATTCCCAGCGGTAGGAATTACTTTCTTCTTCACTAATTGTCCTATCAGAAATGAGTATTACTAAAATGTTGAAATGGAGGTGGTGTTTTTCTCACTATGCATGACAAGTCAGAATACATTTTTTTGCCTATCATTCCTCTATTTTCTTACTAAAATAATGTATTTTTTTTTCTCCTTGGACATAAATATGTTGCACGCTTGTTTTCAGTTCAGGCTGGGCATCTCTTTATACTAAACAAGCAAATTGGCAAATTCTACCCCATGAACCCCTATAGCAAATGCAGGCCTAGTGCTTGTGCTGTGAGGCTCACTGCATTCTGTGAGCAGAGGTTTCTACGTGGGCACTCCCCTCCCTTCCACTTACCTGAAAAATCAAGGTTGCCCAATCTTCTCGTTGCTTCAGCCTTGCCCTTGGATTCAGTCATTTCATGTCAGTTTTGATTTATCTGCTGTTCTTTTGCATGGCTGTAGCGTTAGCTTTCAAGGTTTGGTTTTCAAGTAGTGTTTTGTATGTTTATCACCATGAAGAAGAGTCATAAGAAGATGAGATGGCTTCCGAGGCACAGCGATTCATCTTTCTACAGTGAAGTGTAGAAGCCTCATTACAAATTATACTTGCATTCAGAAGTGAAACTTCTGTGGCCAGAGCTGGTTCAGAACATTGCAGTTCCCTGCTTTTGAATGAATGCAGGGATCTTAAAAATAAAAATCTGAATAATTTGGTCTTCCTTTGTGAACAGGAATCTGCTGTAGTGAGAAAGCATTACCACACTTAATATTTTAATTTATATTTTCAAATATGCACAGCATAATGGAAAAGCAATGCCCTACAGCCAGTTATTTTTAATCAGCATGTACTGCATCTGGACAAGGGCAAAGGGCAGTTGTACAAAGGCAAACTGCTCAACTTGTCTGCTTCAAATCAGGCCAGAGCTGAGGCAATGCATTAAATTACCAGCCAGCAACCAGGGAGCTCCGTGAGCAAGATCAATATCTGCCATTCAGCATGTAAACCAAATGCTACACACTTCTAAATTGTCAATCATCACAAATTGCTTGCTTCCCGCCGTGGTCAGAGGGCTGCAAGCACCTCCCTCTTCTATGAGTGCAGGGTCCCCTGATGGCACAGCTGCCCACAGGAGGTGCAGGGCTCTGCTGTTACATGTGCCCACAGTTTGCTGAAAGCTCCTGGCAGTTTGCAGACACGCTGAGGTGACCTTTTGGGCCCGCCAGGCCTAGGCAGGGGTTGCCATCCCAGCAGGAGTATTCAGCTCACTTATGCTTTCTGTGCTCACAGCCTGTGTGTGGCACACACCAAGGGCAGCCATGCAGGCCCTGGTCAGCTGCTCTCCTCCTGCTCTTGCTTTGCACCGTGTCAGTCATGAAGCTCTCTTCCACAGTTCGTTGCAGCAAGGCTGCCTCGAGGCTTCTTACTGTGATCGCCAAGCTTTGTGTGGTAAAATTCAAAGCAAACAGCAAGCAGAGGTGCTGCAGGGAATGAAGGGTGATTTATCAATGGGGTCTGGCAGATTCAGGGTTCTGGCAGAGGGAGGAAGAGAGAGGCATGCTGCTTTGTTCCTTCAACTCATCTGACCTCCTGTGGGCAGAAAGGAATGCAGCAGGGAGGGATCTGTGCAGGGATAGTGAGCAGGTTGGAGAAGGGCAGGTATAAAGAGCCCTGCAGCGGGGATGCGGCAAATAGTGCCCAGCAAGCGGCTGTGCAAGGAAGGGGCTGGGGGTCCTGGTGGGCACCCTGAGTCTGTAGTGCTCCCCGGTGGCAAAGAAGGGTTGGTTATCACATGCTGTGTTAGCAAGAGTGCAGCTGGAGGTTTGAGGGAAGAGATTCTTACATGCCAAGCTTCAATGTCAAGTTGTGGGTTGTTTTTGTTTTGTTTTGTTTTGTTTATTTGTTTTTCTCTTTTATTTCTTTTTCAGGAAGAAGAGCTGGAGTTCAGGTGCAGCAGAGGACACTGCCAATTCCTTCTGCCTTTTGAAGATTTAAGAGTTGCTGTTTGGAAATTGTACATATGGTTCATTTCCTAAAATGATGCCATTCATTTTTAATAGCAACAGTAATATAACAAACCTTTCTATACATATATATATATTAATTAACATTAGAATAGCCATTAATTAACATTAGAATTGCAATGTAGAGACTGTAAGTCTGAGGACGTATTTTGCTCTGCTGTAACTGCAGAGCAATTTGTTAGCTCACAAGCAGCTTGTGAGGCTTTATTGAAATAGTGGTAATAGGAGATTCTCAAATGCAGTCCACTCCCAGTAGTGTTAATGAATGCAACTTGGGATAAAGGCTGTTTGGACACTGGAAAATGTATCATTTTGCACTTGGAGTTTTTTCATCGCGTTATCCTTTGGTGAAAGTTATAAGGACAAAGGGATCATGGAGGACATTTGTGAAGTTGCAGTCTTCTGTCTTGCTGGGTTTAGTGGCAAACTCATGGTTAGAAATACAGAGGAGCTTGGGGTTTATTTTAATTTTTCTCTGAAAGGTTTGTAACATAAAGGATTTTCATTAATCAAAATGATTTATTAGGTTTCTAGCTTTTCCAGTAGCTACATCATTGCTCAGACAACAGACTTAAATCGCAATTCTCATTTCCCAGGGAATGTTTAGAGCATAAAATGTCATGTATTTTTTCTTAGTGACCGTTAAGCAAAACTTTTGCATACCAAAAAACCTATGTGATTTCATCGTGGCGATTCCTCTGTGAGAAATAACCACAAAATAAAAATAACAGCACAGAAGGACATTGCTTCTGCTCTATTAGATATAATTAAGGCCTAGAAATTCTTAGATAAATCTGGATGAACATGTTATAGGTGGAATGTATAAGCAAATGGGTAGGGAACTGCTTGTATTTGGGATGGCCTGACATCTCTCAGATAATATAAGAAAAAATTATCAGGCTGCCTGGATTTTAGCTGAAAATACATCCAGTCCTTACCCCACATTTCCTTTCTATTCCTGTAATCACCATCTTCAAGTGTTCGAATTTAGACACTGTAAAATCAATCAGCCACTTAAACAGGTCTGTTCTTTTCTTTCAGTGGCTGCTTCTTACTGGATTCTATAGCAAACAGTTAATGTCATGCTCTTAAGCCTTGTCTGGCTCATGTGCAGAAATGTTTCTGTACACCAAAGTAATCCAGATCTGCTTGATTTTTCGCAGTGTATGACTCTTGTTAGAAGCAAATCTGTTCATGAGAAACTTGCTCAGAAGCTATCTTGCTATGTGGCTAGCATTGCTGGAAATGTGTGAATAAAGAGAGAAAAAGTCATCTCAGTGAAATTTAAACCACTTCAACCTCATAATTCCTAACATGATTTACAGCTTTTCTCTAAGGGAAGCAGGGAAGCTGGCTTTCTTAGCAAACAGGGAGTGATCACTGCAACAGACCAGGCAGAGATGTTTTCTTTTTAAGAAGAAGATGTCTTAAGAAAGTGTTTATAAGCAGCAGAAGAGTAATAGCTTGTTAAGCAGAAGAGCCTGTACCTGATTTTGGTCAAGTCTGATGTACGATAGACTGATGAGGGAATTGAAGCCTTGAACAAACAGGCTATTCTTTGAACACCTGCCAATTTTCAGTATTATTACTAACCTTGCAAAATAAAGTTTGTCTTGCAAAAATTTGTTTTGCAATGCATAGTCTAGATTGCTTTTTTTTTTTTCCCTCCTGGACTGAACAACTACAGCCTTTTACTTACTGATTTGATTTACAAATTGAAATAGAACAGGGAGAAATTTTCATGCTGCTTCTTTCAGAACTTGTTTGTTTCTAAACATACAAGAGTATGTACCAGGAATGTTATATACTGGATTGTATTTGTGTTGCTTGGTGCTTGTGTAACCTGATGCTTGATAAGCTTGTGCAGTCACTGATTACATTATTTGAGTGGCTGCTTTAAATATTTTAAATAATGAAACAGAAGCTTTATAAGGACATGCTAGTAGCAGTTGAATGGGCTCCTCACCTTACTCTGCTGTATGGTCATTTCCTGTGCTCTGTCCTATGGAGGGAGGTATAAGGACTCGTGTCTCCTCAGTGAACTCCTTTACTCAGGCTTTGGCTCCTGTTTGCATTAGCAATTAAGGTCAGAGCAACAGTGAAGTTTTGAAGGGAGTTCCCTGATTACTTCCGTTTAGTTTCTGCTGGTTCAGTTCTTGATGCCGTTCCTGCATGCATAAATTAGATTCCTCTCAAAGGAAAGGAAGCCAAATGATTTTTAGAGCCTGGTAAGACCATTAGGTTCTGAATCTGCCCAGAGAAGCTCTGCAGAAGAGATAGAAGTAGCTGGAACTCTTTCTCCTCTGGAGCGATCATAGCTCTATCTACTTTGTGTTTCTTTGGTTTGTAATATTTTAGCATGATGCTCCATCTTCTAGAGGAGAGATGGAAGAAGAAACATTAACAGGATTAGAATGTCTAGTTGACTTCTCCTCTCATTTACAGATTCCATACTGTATCTTTTCATGTGGCAGAACACGTGCTGACTTTCAAAATCCAGTGAGAAGCGGGGCACCAAGCATATAAGCCAAATCCACTATGTCTGTTTCATACATTTGATTCATAAACTGAATTCAGCACAATTTTTTTCTGAAGCCATGGTTAGGCAGGCTAATAGGAGGTAAATTCTGATGTGTTATTGAGAAAAAATGGGGAGTCCACACTGGGCTCCATTGGGTGGTGCAATTGCTGCATGGGCTGGATACAAGATCTGTCTTGAAAGGCTTGGAGCAGGGAGTAATTGGAGTCTTCCTCTAAATATATTGAAAAACAGCTCAAAAGCAGAACCACTCTGCAGCAAGTAAATGAAATGTGAAAATGAAAGAGGGATCACTAGTTCTGAAACGATATTTTGGACAGCAAATAACAGTCAAGAACAAAGTAGCAGAATTGCCCACAGATTGAAGGTATCACAAAGCACTCTGTGTTAGTATTGAAGACAGCATTCAGCAGAAAGAAACAGAATAGCTCAAATGAACCTTTACATGTAGTGTCTGTGGGAAGAATCCATATGGCTGCCAGAATCTCTATGGCAGTGGAATGAGGATCCTTAAAGGTTGTGAATCTACCCAAACTGTAAAAATCTATTCTGTAGATAAAAATCTGGCAGATATAAGAGAAAAATATGAAGATTTAATAATATAATCTTGTTCTAAAATAAGGAGGCATTTGACATATTAGTAAAAAGAAAATATCCAGCTGTTTTCCTTAACTGTAACAAATCATGCCAACAGACAAGTCTATTTCAGAGCAGTGTGAATCTTTCATAAGATGATGCCTTTAATTTTCTTTCCTCACTACTTTGGGAGAAGAGGAGGAAGAAAAACATAAACTTTAAATGGTAAGTAGAAAAGTGGAGATGGGTTCATACAGAAGACCAATACATATATTTACACAACACTTTTGCCTACCAAGCATCTCACTTAGAATTAGTGCTGTTAGTTTTATCAATCAGTGAGTGTCACAGTAAGCTAGGAGAAAAAAAATGAAAGGAAATAAGGTGAGGTGGTGGCAAGACAATAAGTAATTTAACAGATTTTGTTATGTACCAACTCTAATTTTTTTGTTTAAATCTTAACATGGATCTGGAATAGCAGTAATAGATCTATAATAGATCTAAGGGAGACCCCTGATATTGATTACTCAGATAGAAAGTCAATTTGTTATTTATTTATTTAGGAATTAAATGCCATACGCAAATTTGTAGGCTGCAGATAAACATCTGCATTTCAAAACTTTGGAAAACTCTCTGCCTGAGAAAGTTTGTGATCACGTGAAGTAAATTTCCTTGAAATTGTGCTGGGTAGCATTGATTATGCTTTTTTAGTTTGTTTATTAGTTGCTTTCCATAATTTCATTGCTTTCAACATCATTTCCAGTCAAAAACTAGTTCATTGATTTAGCATAATACAGGATATTTGTCAATCACTTTTATCTGTACGGAAAATACTCCCCAAACTTCATTCTGGGACTCCCAGCTTTGAAAATTTACAGCTCAAGTATATATATGAGGAAGGAACCAAGTTCAGCAAAATTTAATACAACTTGTAAGTATTCATCCTAGCTTATACTAACATGTAAATGTAAGCTTGTCAAACGTCACACAAAATTTATGTTGTCTTTAAAAGCTAATGTATTCTTATGAAGACAGAAACATCACTGTGACATCTAAAATCAAATTAATTGGCCACATTCTCCTGAACAAACCTTTATACAAGGTTTCTGCATTAAAACATACTGCTGTCAGACTTTCATTCCCTTGTACTTTTATTAGAGATAAACAAAAATGCCTTTTCTGATCTACCCCAGTAAAAACCTGTGTTTGTTTCGAATGCCAGGACTCAAAACATATGAGGGCCTCATGATGCCACTGCATCAACTTAAAAAAAAAAAAAAAAAGAAGTTATATTCTCTCTATATAAATCTGATTTCTTTGAGTTTTGTTTGGGCATTCCAGGCATATAATATGGAGAGTTGTTCTGTGAATATATAAAGAACATATCACTTTGTTTATGTTTTCATAAATGGAAGAAATAACCTGAGAGCTGTTGTTATACCAGCGGTGGATATTGGCATGCTCCAGAGCAAACTTGTCTCTACAGATTTGTCATTCTTCTAGGGACCATCTTCCAAGCCTTCCCTATATGTCTTGTTCACTTGTTTTGTCTTTTCCAACATCTGTTAGTGTTGTGACAGAAGCAAATGAGGGCCTGTTTGCCTTCATTTTGTAAGTAGCAGTAAGCTGTGATAAAGACATATGCTACTCAAGTGCATACATTCAAAAGAATGATAACTCTTTGTATCAGTGTATAACTTATAAAAATCTTTTGAATTCTGAAGTTTGCCATTTTTTTGGCCACTTTCTATTGGAGAAAAGGTCTACTATGTTTATGGAGTAATTTTGAGAAATAATCACTGGGATGTGACAATTTTGTAGAGGAGTTGTTGGCGTTGTTCCTCAAAATCCAATGGTCACCAAGAGAAATTGAGAATTATGGTGTCTTTCTGTCTTGGGCTTTTATGGCTGCCTTTCCTGGGGAAACCCAGCACTAATCTGTGTACTCAAGGCTGAGGAACTTACTCACCTGATCCTCCATTTGCTTTCTGAGGTTTTTGTATCTTTGATGTATTGTAGCTGTTTCCACTGGCTCATCAAATCTTTCTGCTATTAACTTACTTCTTTTGTTAATAATATCTAACAGCCACTTAAAACTTGGGAGTTTTGGCTAGGAAAATAGAGGTAGATGACACACTTTTCTTTAAAAGGCTTGAACTGAAAGACTTGTGTATCATGTGGAAAGCACAGTGTAGCTTGCCCTTAATACTGTAAGTTAGGTAACATGAAACATCAATAAGTGCGTATTGAGATCGTCTGTGCAATTTCTGCATATGCATATAGTCTGACAGAACCTGACTCATTCAAGTCTTTATTTTCTAATCACTTTCAGCTACTAAATAAGTAGCTGTACATGTCATTACACAGCAGCTTAAACTAATTCAGATCAGCTCTGCTGCATCCTACCTTTCCCCTTCTTTCCATATGACGCAGTCTCACATTCCGTTTGTGGGACACCTGTATCATCCATGTAGAGCCAGGTCAGAGAGTAGACTAACAAGGTATAGATCTGCTTTTTTTTCCTTCAAAAAACCACTGCTGTGTCAGCGTGGTGCCAGCACCCATGTGATGGCATGTGATGGCATACTGTTAATATGGGCTGTGTAATGCTGGCTTATGTTATTACAGCTGTTAGGAAATGCATGAATGGCTGAGCTGATCTAATAACTTGCTGTTACTGGAGGAAAGGAAAGAGTAGCAACAGTTCTCCTGATCCTCAGGCAGACAAAATCTGCCTATAGTTTTCCCTGCTTGCTTTATTTAATTTAAACTTGTGCAATTTAGTAGCTAATAAATTTTTGGCATCTGAAAACTGGGCCTTGCCTGATGGAGAAAAGTCTACGTATGATTCTAGAATAATTAATGTGGCACTTTATGCTGTGAACCCAAATGGGTCCAGCAGTATTTTCTGCTAGGCCATCCCACACTGGTTTCCCATTTTTCATATATTTTACTCTGCATGTTTTCCATTTGCAGAGCCATTCATCTTAGAATTTGAAGGGTATGGAGATGCCAATTTGTTTTACCTTGTGTAGACTTCATTAGCAAAGTGGAATCATATCTCATAGAGTATGTTATGCTTAGTAACTCTTGTGTACTTTCTATGTTCCTGTTAGTAATAACAAGGAAGTTTTCACAATGTAGATTTTAAATGTAA